CATATGCTTTATGTACATATTTTTGCACACCACTCCTGTCAGAGGTTGCATTTTCTTGTTCCTAATTTGCGTAATGAGGACAGTGAATCGTATGTTCTAGTTGGAAAAATAGTACTTGAGTTGATAAGCTTATATATGCATGCCTATATTATTGCAAAGGATTTATAGGCATGAATTTGAAATCTTCAAGTTTCAGGTTTTACTGGAAACCCGGCTAGAAGCTCCTCTTGGACATAAACATCAAAAATACCCGGCCCTTCGTTCCCAAGCCCAGACTTTAAGTGCACTTTGTTGGTGTGAGAAAGTTTTAAGTGAACTTTGTTGGTGTATGCATGTTGCTCTCCAACCTCTCACAGTTCTTTTGAAATTATTTATACAAAATTATTCAAATTTAGCCCTATTAACATAACTTTACAAATAGGAGCTGGGGTTGTGGCTCAGTGGTAGAGCACTTTCCTAGGATGTGTGAGGCACTGGGTTCGATTCTCAGCACTATATATAAGTAAATGAATAAAATAAAGGTTCATCAATATCTAGAATTTTTTTAAATAAAATATATTCCTTACAGAAAATTCATTTCTCTTTTTCTGTATCAAAGCAAAAGACCTTCTGAGAACAAATTGTGTGACAATTTATAGATGGTCATCCCCCTAAAATCCTTGAGAAAAAGAAATATTCTCTAAGTGCAAAATAGTACCTCTTCCCCCACCTTTATGTCTTTTAAAAGGCTACGTTTTTCTTATTAAGACCCTATCTCAAAAAAAAAAAAATTAAATACAAAGGGCTGAGGATGTGGCTCAGTGGTTAAGTGGGTTCAATTCCTGGTATCAAAAAAAAAAAAAGTTTCTTTTCCTCCCACTTGTCAGCAAATAACAATTCATACCCCTCCCCCAAGGCTCCCTGGCTCAGCAAAGAACAACACTGTAAAAGTGTGTTGTATGTAGTGTGTTGAACAGGAAGGTTTACAGGCTCTCCCACTGCCGCAGTGACCAGGGAGGCAGAGATAAGAATCTTCATCTTCAGACAGCCCCAGTGCTATGCAGGACTGAAAAGTCGGCCCTGTAATATATTCAAGAAGACCTAAGGGTTTACTTTCCAATAAGGAGGGGAAAAAAAATCTGAGCACCCCACTGTGAGCTTATCCTAATGCTGCTTCATATAAAAAGTGGGTAATTAGTCCCTGAGTGAATAAAGTAGAATAGATGATAAGAGATTGATACTTAGAGGGGAAGCACAAAATGCTCTTGCCAGTCATCAAATTTTAAAGGCTATAGAGAAAGGGTTAGGGATGCTTCTGTCTGTTTATATACAATCTCCAACTCAGAATTTGTAATGATAGTTCATTAACCAGTGTTTTTAAATTGTATTAAGATGAAGCTTATATAAATTTCAAAGGCGCACTGATGGTGCCAGACGCAGGAGATTTTGAGACCCAGCACCAAAATGCCACAGCACTGGTTGGATTGGGTCTGATGTCCATCCCTGTACCTCCTGTTGCCAAAACCTAGAGGTGGTGCAGTGCTATTTGATCTGGGAACCAAATCCCCAATACATTATTTTTGACAACTCCAGAACATGCATTCATGTTTTCCAGATTTTGTTTTCTCATATAATTTAATGTGAATTTATCTGTGAATGTTTGGTGTTGTAGAATAACACCTACAGAAGAGTTAAAACTATAAATCTTGATTTGGAGGAAGGACATCTCAGGGAAAATGGTTAAGATGTTAAATTTCTATTGATTAAATTTTCCTGAAAGGGCATCGTTTTGCATAAAACTAATTCCATGAGCATTGTAGAAACACATTCAAGTTTCCTGAAAAATAAACATATAAAAAATATAAGTATTTTTATATAAAAATATTTATATAAAAATAAATTGAACCACCCATCCAAATTTTTTAAATCAGCTTCTAACTAGAAAAAGGAGACTGACTGCCAAGATAAGGTTTAACAGGCCATTTTCACAAATGTGGCTATATCATTCTTGAACAAGTGAACAATAATATCAACAGTAATTGATGTATTTTCTGGGGATGCCTTGACTGATGCAGCATCCTCACCCCAAGGAACTTAGAGTCTTTGCAGAGAGTGGACACTTCAAAATAGACCAGGCCGTCTCAGGGGCAGACAGGAGAGAAATGCTCCAGCAACTTCTATCAGCAAAGGAGACTAAATCAATTGAAATTGCTCTACATCCCTTCCCCCATTCCCTTTTTTACCTTATAGCTTATGTTAGGATCTGTATAGACACAGACACAAAATAGATATTTAGCAAGTAAGTATCCTTTGGTGCAATTAGCAGATTTGTTATATTTAGTGATGAATTCATTGAAGTTTTGTTATATTTAGTGATGAATTCATTGAAGTTTTGTTATATTTAGTGATGAATTCATTGAAGAAACTTAATCAGATCATTAATTCAATCATGTGAATTTAACTCTGTTGATCTTTAGAGAAAAATTAGATATTTGAACCAGTCACTATGGCTTCTGCCTATAATCCCAGCAACTCGGGAGGCTAAGGCAGGAGGATTGCAAGTTCAAGGATAGCCTCAGCAATTTAGCAAGACCTTGTCTCAAAATTAAAAATAAACTCCTGGCAATGTAACTCAGTGGTATAGCATCCCTGGGTTTTATCCCCAGCTTAAAGAAGGCTATTTGACCAAAGCTTGATAAATCTGTGTATTTTTCTGCCAGAAGGAAAATTTCACGTATTTTTACAATTTGGGGGGAAAGGTGTCAATTTGAATATATTCATAAAGCTAATTGAAAGACTTTAAATGATCATTCTATAAGAATGTGTGAATAAACTAGAATTGATGATCTACCCTTTGTTTTCTGCTCATTGGGAATGGGTTCCCCACCCTTCAGGGTGACGTAATTTATCACATCGTTCTCAAAGGATACATTTATCAAAAAAAGAAAGTTTCAAAAACAACTTTCTAAAAAGGCTATTATTCACTTATCTTACATTTTACACTCTTCACATTCCTACACCCTCCCTATTAATCTCTATGACTGTTGCTAGCTTTACTTGTGAGAGTTGTCTTTCACTATAGTGTAAAATAATATTCCATTTCAAATGTTTTGTAGTTATGTTTAAATCACTATAACACACACCCATGTAGATTTTTCTGTGGTACAGAGGTACAACATATGAAGGTATTTCTGATTGTTTACGTTTTATAATTTTGAACTAAGTATACCTCTAAGTCCTTAGCCAGGTTTATAAATAGTTTAAGTAATTTAAAGTCATTTTAAAAAATATTTCCTATAAGGTAGGTTGAAAATGCTTTATTAACTGTGAAGTGCCACATATATAAAATATCAAGTGGATAACAACTGAGCTGCCAAGTCTGATGTCACAAGAAGATGCAGAGTTCCTGGTAGTGTGGTGTGTGTCTGTTTGCACAGCTTAATGATCAAATTTTTTTGCATCTCACTTTGAAATAGATGGTGGTACTCAGTTCTCACACTCTGTATCTGTTTCAGCACTGATTACTCACTGTTTCAAATTTGGGCCAGAGAATTGGGGATAGAAAGGAGCATGTTTAATGCATGGTTACAACCCAAACATAAACACCAAAATAGTCTTGAACACATTTCAACAGTACACATGGGCTGGGCTTGTAGCTCAGTGATAGAGCACTTGCCTAGCATGTGTGAAGAACTGTGTTCAATCCTCAGCACCACATAAGAATAACCATAAAGAAAAATAAAGGTATGTGTCCATCTCCATCTAAAAATAAAACAGTAAGCGTAAGGCAGACTCCTTGTATATACATTCAGAACTCCCAAACTGTAGATCATGCTCAAAATATTGGATATGTGTTACTAAGGTAACCATTAACTTGTTTTAGTGAGTTTAACCTTTTATTCATACCATTTGGTTGTTTTCTTCAAAATTCTTCTTATTTATTTTTACCCAATTAAAAAGCATCTTTTTACTTTCCGTGCAGGGGTGTGTGTAAACACACACACATCTGTGTATTTTTTCCCCATCGGCTTCTATATACACATTGTAGTAAAGTTGTACAGTTAACATAAATAAACTCCAGGAGAGAAATTCCAACATTCCATTTTCCCTGGCCCATTGTCTCTGTGTATATCTGTAGTCAGTCTGTCTTTTCTGATTCTGTGGTATTCTCTCTTATTCAGTATTTATAAGGACCTCTAGGGCAGATGTCTTACAACAACTGGATGCTCACCAGGAGTTAGGCAGAATGAATCGCCTATGTCCGGCTTCTCCAAAGAGGAACCCCAGGACCAGAAGAAAAATAGAAAAGGACACAGTCAGACTTTAGAAACCATGTTCAGGTTAAAGGGCACCAACCAGCCTAGCTTGTATTCTGCCTAAAGGACAAGACTTTCATTTGATAACGATCATTAGTCACTGAGATATATATTTTAGAGAGTTCCCAGTAGCGACTATTCCGTTGGCAGTCAGTGGAGTGTACAGATGGTTCATTAGCATAGGCTAGACAAGTCAAAGGCTTTCAGAATCATTTAGAAAATGTCAAACAGAAACAAGAACCCTGTCACTTTTTATTAGAATTAACTACATCATACCCTGGACACAGATTTCACCTTGGGTCAGAAAAATTAATACAGAATTATATGAATTGTATAATATACTGGGTTAAGATAGGTCTTTCTCTAGGGACTCATTTGCTGGCAATATATTATGATCCCTCTACTTTAGGAATCCTCAAACCTTTCCTTTTGTAGGATATGAAAAGAGTTGACCTTGCTCAAAATCCATTGGTGTCTAACTGACTTGAGGTACATGCAGAATTTCAACAAGACCTTCTTCTAAAGCTCTTTTGTGATCATTTTTCCCAGGAAGTTTGGTGAGTCCAGCTCACTGAATATTCAGCAGAGTATAGAGTATGCTTTATTTCAGGGGGAAAATACATCCACTCATTGAACACACTGCTTTGGTAAACGGGGGAGTTAGAATGCCACTGAAATGTTGTTTTCTTTGTTTTTTAAATGCAGATGTCAAAAACCTTGAGAACTTCCAGCTGGTAGAAGGTGTTCAGGAACAGGTCAACGCAGCCCTGCTGGACTACACCGTATGCAACTACCCCCAGCAAACAGAGAAGTTCGGGCAGCTACTTCTGCGGCTACCCGAAATCCGGGCGATCAGCATGCAGGCTGAGGAATACCTCTACTACAAACACCTGAATGGGGACGTGCCCTACAATAACCTTCTCATAGAAATGTTGCATGCAAAAAGAGCCTAAGTTATGACCCCTAAGAGTTCTGCTTCCAGAACACAAAGAGATTTGAGGGGAGGGGAAAGAACAGGAAGAGGAAAAAAAATACTCTGAACTGCTCCAAGCAACACTAATTTAAAAACTCGGTTAAAGATACTGAATTTAAAAAGGCATAATAATCAAATACTTAATAGCAAATAAATGATGTATCAGGGTATTTGTATTGCAAACTGTGAATCAAAGGCTTCATGTCCCCAAAGGATTCATGTGAAAGACATTGTAACGGAATGGATTTGAACTCACAGATGGATTCCAGCACTATGTCAGAATAAAAATGGACAGAACAATTCTTGTATATTTAAACTGATCTCCACTATGAAGAAATTTAGGAACCAATCTGTGTTATTAATTAGGCTTATACAGTGAGGGATCGAGCTTACAGAATTCCTCCCTGGTGAAGCTGAACTGAAACAATTCTCAAGAATGCATCAGCTGTACCTGCGACAGCCCCTCTCTCTTCCTTGGAAGGCCTCGCACCTTCTGCCCTGTGATCACCAAGTCTGTACAAAGGACCTATGCTCAGCCACGCCCATTAGTAGCTCCACTAAATCATGAATTCCAAATGTCTGTGTCTTAGACCTGCAAACCGCTAATAAGAGCGATCTATAAATATGTCAGCTTGCCATTTTAAATATGTTCTCAAGTTTGTTTTGTCACGTGTTCATGATTTTACAAAGAGCAGGCAGTATCCCTCTTCTATCTTATATAAGCATTCATGAATATTAAGGGAAATGGCTACAAATTTTTTAAGCAAATGCTCCATAACTAAAGCAAGTTAGATCTTATTTCTGCTACTGTTGCTGAAATGTGGCTTTGGCATTGTTGGACTTCATAAGAATTTCTGGCTGAAAGGCTTTTTAGGCTACATCTGCCCTTTTTAATCATAAAGGTTTGTAGTTCATTTTAAAAAAAAATACAGCTTTAAAAATCTTTTGCTGGAATGTCAAATAGTCACAGTCCTAAGTAGTTGAACATAAAAACTGAAGCATGTCAAGCTATGAAAATGAAAAGGTAGGAGAAGCTGATAGATTGGTTGACACAAAGTTCATTCTAGTTGCCACTGAGCATCCCCTATCTTGAGATGAGAACAGTAATTTTTGAATGCAGCCTGGAAAAATCCAACAGTCATTTAAATCTTCCCCAAAGAGGAAAGGAAGAGAGTGATACTGACCTTTCTAAGTCATAGACCAAAGTCTGCTGTAGAACAAATATTGGAGGACAAAGAATTGCAAACAAACTCTCCAAACAATGCCGTCAGTATTATTAACACTCGATGCCACAGGTATGAAAGTCTTGCCTTATTGCGCGATTCTGGAAGGTAGCTGTGCAGATGTGGATCAACTTTAAAAATAAAGTATTAATGCTTTTAAAGTCAGATAAAATATAGTGTTTACATTCTTTAGGTCCGGGGGTGGGTTGGGCGGGGATCATGATATTACAGAATAACAGAAGCAGTAATTTCTTTAATGTTATTTTTCTGATTCGTAATTATTTTTAACAGGACTTAATTATTATATGTCGTGAGACACTAAAATCAAAAAACGGGAATCTCATTTAGACTTTAATTTTTTTGAGATTATCGGCAGCACAATCACTTGTAGAAACTGTAAAAAAATAAAGTATCTCCTAGTCCCTTAATTTTTTTTTTCATAAATGTTTCTGGCTTTTGAATAGTTTATTTATATTGTATATCATAGTTTCAACTGTAGACAATTATGATGCTAATTTATTGTTCTTGGATTCACCTTTGTATAAGATATAGCCAAGACTGAAGAAACCAAATACATGTGTTTACTGTAGCATGTCTTCAAGTTAGTGGGACATAGTTCAGGGACATAGAAGGGTCTTAATGAATTAAAATCATCCACTTGATTAAATGTTTCTGTAAATCTTCCTAATTCTTACTGTAGTTTATTTAATATCTATTGTAAATTATGGGACCTGTAGCTTCCTCTGTTTTCAAGTAAATTTAACAAGGTGGAGTCTTACCCGGTTTTCCTTTCAAGCATTGTAAGTCGTATACCAAAGATATTAGTTATGACTTCAGCGTGTACAAAGAGAATTATTTTATTACTTTTATTAATCACCTTTAATGCCCGCCCACCCGAAGGGGACAGGCTAGCAAAGCCCAGCCTCGACTTGTGCTGTGTCTGTCACCTACGTTATCTTCATGGCCCAAAGAGCAGTGAAGAATTGCAGGTCAGAGCTCACAGCCAAAGCACCCCAGAGCTCGGCAGCATCACTGCTACCCCCATTCTAAACCAAGTCAGAAGACACGCGGAGGGGCACAGTGGTGTGGACAGTCAGGAAATGTTCTATCCCTTGTGTGTGTGTGTGTGTGTGACAAATAGGGCTGGGGATGTGGTCCATGCCCTTGAGTTCAATCCTCCACGCACCACCCACCCCCAAATAGTCAAATACATTCACTCCTATCATCCGTGTTTCTTCCTACTGAATATGACCCTAAAAAATGTCAAATTTTGGTATGCTGTTAACCGAGTGGATCACACCCTGGGAATGGTTAGAAAGAGACCATATGGAGTTACGTCCACACTCCTGGTGACATTGAGGACAGAAGCTGATAAACAAGAAAGCACCACAGCCGCTGGCTGTGGCCCATCCAAAGTTGGCAGATGCCATTTTTCTGATGTTCATTGTTAACCAGTTTGTAACCAGACATCCATCCAGCCAACTGCCTTATCCATTACAGGACTTATTAGTAGAAGAAGACTCAAATATAAAAGTTTTTGGCTTAGCTTGGTTTATTATAGCTGGTCTACGTTTGTAAACATGCAACCTGTAGCGTCCTGAATATTTGTGTTACAGATTTTCTGCGGCTGCCTTGGGCTCAAATCCATGCCATGTTTAGAGTGTGGAGTCGGTTACTTGTTGACGTTTTCTTACTGTATCAGTGAAATACATATTGTCATGTCAGTTCTTGCCAGGAATTTCTCAATAAAGTGGAATTTTTTTTTTCAGTATTTCAATAAATATTGATATGCCCAGCCTGATAACTTTTAAAAGTCTTTATGTTGTCCTTATTCTATTGGGTGCTAAAACTTCTGAGTAATTAACTACTTGATGGGATCGGAATCAATAGAATTTCACAAGAGGAATTACTTTCCTTCTCTAGGCATTTTTGATAGTCATCTGATGCCCTGCTTTGGATATCTGAAGCATTAAAGTAATCATAATCCATGCATCACAGTTCCACATTGGAAATGAAGCATTTGTGTCACTGTTAAAACTGATTGGTGGGAGAAAAAAATTATTTATTTATTTGTTTATTTTTTTTTGTGGTACTGGGGATTGAACCCAGTGCCTTGTGCATGTGAGGCAAGGACTCTTCCAACTGAGCTACAGCCCCAGCCCCTAAAATCTTAATAGTATCTAACTTTTTCTAATAACTCCTGCACGATTTATTGATTCCCTTGATCCTCAGAACAACTTCATTTAGTAGCATCCTCATCTTATGATCTTGCATTATGAGATGCACTAGTCAGAGAAGGAGCAGGGATTTGATCTTTGGTTTATGCCGTGCTGGGGATCAAACACGGGGCCTCATACGTGCTGGGCAAGTGCTCTATCACTGAGCCACACCCCGGCCCAGGAGCAGAGCTTCAAACCCAGGCACTTTGACCCCAGGATCAGCACACGTAAACATCACGATATTCTGTCTCCAAAACAGAATGATACGTAGGAAAAGATACTACAGAAAATCAGGGATCCGGTTCAATGAAGTCTACAAAAATATCAAGTACTCAGGGATAGAAAAGCTTTCATATTCTCCATAGTTGAACCACGGAAGGTAGGATGCCCATGTTCTAGAAATCAGCCTCCTTCAATACCATTGAGTATTTGGAGAGGTCTTTGTGTTTTGTTTTGTTTTGTTTTGTTTTGTTTTGAGATGGGGTCTTGCTAAGTGGCTGAGAGCCTACAACTTGCCATCCTCCTGCCTCAGCCTTCCAAGTTGCTGAGATTACTGGTGTGCACCACCACATGCAGCTTGGAGATGTTTAAAGCAACAAAGTAACTAATGAATCCATTTGGGAAATAAATAAAACTTATACTATAAAATAACAAAAGAGGGGCTGGGGCTGGGGCTCAGCAGTAGCACGATTGCCTGGCATGTGTGAGGTATTGGGCTCGATTTTCAGCACCGCATATAAATAAAGGTCTATCAACAACTAAAAGAAATACTAAAAAAAAGTAAGAGCCATCAAACAATAATGCTTATGAGTCCAGCCCTCCCGATTAGCCCCCACCCTTCTCATCCTCTCTGGTGGCTACCAGGCTCAGGAGGCACAAGTCCTGTCCAAGCAAATCCTAATTTTTCTTAGGATCCTTCAAAAAGACACCTAGGAGTCAGACTCAACACACTGCACCTGAGGATTTTAAGTGCAAAACTGAGATTTTTAGGTAACAAAGAGCAACCTCCAAACCCAGATCTCCCTGGTCCACCTCCAGGAAGAACTTTTTCAAAATTATTCTTGCTGACATCCCATGAAATATGAAAATACATGTTCATATTTAATTGGACTATAATTTTCATACAGAAAAGTGTATACTTTGATACATTTTTACACACGTTTACATCCAGGTAATCAACACAACTGAAGCAAGATGAAAAACATGAACTTTAAAAAGATTTTTTTTTTAAGTAGTTATATACATTTTTCTCCCAGCTCTCTCCTGGATGCTGGCAGGGGTCATTGTGATGAGAGCTGAGGCAGCCCTCCTTCCCTCACTGAGAATAACATGCACCAAGTTGCTAAATCCATCAGCATGAGCAGCCTCTAAGGATATAAAGGGGGGAGCTCGTGCTGATGTGCATTTGATTGTTATATTTGATATTCAAAATAACTTTGCGGAGGTTTATACCTTTAACTAAGTTTGACATTCGGTTTGAAGCCATCTCTGATGTATATTTTTATGAGAAACATGTGCAGTCTCTGTTCAACATAACGCAGGTCAGAATGCTGCAGTACTTAGTGATTTTGACATTTCCCTGGAATAATAAAGACCAATTTTCCTTAACGCTGAACAGGAAGTGTATAGTTTAGTCACTCAAAATAAATACTCTTTGCAATACTTTAACCGTTTCACATAGGCATTTGTTTTATGTTAAGTTAGGAATTAATAATTCAGTGACTGATGTCAGGCTGTGATTGTGGTTTTGTTTGTAGAAAGGCTTTGCATGTTGCTAGGAGAGAGGGGAAGGGGAAAGGGGGGTGTAATTAGACTAATTGCTGAGTATCCCTGAAGTAAGTTTGAAACTAAACTATCAAGAAACTGCAGAGCGCTGGGCCTCCACGCCCCGCTCCAGCCAGCGCAGATCAGACCTCAGGCTGCACCAGGAGGTTTTGTGGATTCTAGGCCAGTCTGCCTGGGACACTGCCTCAGACCTGAGACTGTCCTGGGGACCTGTTAGTCACAAAGAGCCCAGGAGGGACGATAGACCATGTGCAGACACCTCGTTGCTGTCTTAACTCTTCAACTTTATGGAGGTAGCCATGCCCATCAGCCAACAGCGGTTCCCCGTCCTTGGTGTCCTTGAGGATGGAGCTGTCTGGGCCAGAGCCTTCCAGCTCTCTAGTAACAGGAATCGAAACCCCTCTGGAGTCCCCGCTACCATAGGCCTCTCCTGCTCAGGCCCGTCTCTAGCTTTCCTTCCTACACCTCTCCCTCGTTCCACATGGCCTCAGTCTCCAAATCCCACAGCTCCTTTTCTTATTTCTTTCAAACCAGTGCCTGCCTTCCCTCCTGTGGCTTTAGATCAGGTGCCTGGCCTTTCTGGCCTGAACTTCAGCAGCAGCCCGAAGGCGAGACCCCTTCTATCCAGTTCAACCCACTCCAAGCCTCACTCTAATCCTTTGACCCAGAGCAGTCTTCCCAGCTGAGAGCTGATATCATTCCTTCGCTGATCGTCCAAGGATGCTTACCATCTGTAGGAAAAAAGTCCGCGGAACCTTCCTGACACAGCCTCTACCTGCTTTCCCAGCCTCTCTCTCCAGCCTCCCCACACCACCTGCTGTTGTGCAGCAGTCACACCAAACAACCTGCTGCCCTGCGCCTTTTGGCCTCTCTGTTCCCACTCATGCTTTTCCAAGAGACCTTCCTGACTGCCCTTCCCCATCCAGTCCAGTACATCCCCACCTCCTGGGTCTCAGATTTCTGGTGTGGTTGTTTTGTTGTTGTTGTTGTTGTTTAGTTTTTTGAGACAGAGCCTCACTAAGTTGCTGAGGCTGGCCTCAAACTTGTGACTCTCCCGCCTCAGCCCCCTGACTAGCTAGAATTACAAGTGTGCACCACCGCATCGGGCTCTCTGATGTGACTGTGCTCTAGTCTCATTGTGTCATTTCCCAGGATTGTCCCTCTACAT